CAACACAATTTTTTTTTTTTGAAAGAGCAAAGAAAATCACTTTGATATCCGCTTGAACCAAAACTGCAATCGTACATTTGTACTCCATTTGTTTGCTCAGATGAGGAAGATTTTGCAAATTTTACAAAATCGAACCCAGATTCCAGCTTATGTTTCCAGGTTTCAACCCCCAAGAAAAGGAAAAACTCGGGAGAGGTAGAGAGAGTACAATAATTTTACATCAAAAGAATTCGAGCTTGTCAATATAGTCTTCTATATCGAGTAAAAGAACCAAGTCACATTTCCACAATCTTGAGTATATCCATAAGCTCTTCTCCAAATGTATTTCACAGATGAGATTCGACCAGAAAGTGGAAAATTATACCCTGCTGATTAACAATGCGGATGCCACCCAATTGGATAACCTTGCATGCCAGAGAAAGAAGTTTCCCGCCCGCTCACTCAACTCACTTCCTTTCATCAATGTATCATAAAATGCACAAACCATGCAAAACTAAACGAAATTACTCAAAAGTCATACTTTGTTCTCCCACTCTTTAAGATGAGGCATAACATGTCTGAAATGTCAGCGGAAGAACTGAAAAAGTTCCAAGCCTCAAGCATTAGGTGTTTCCTTGATCCTTTAAAATGATCAACCTGTATCAAGTTAAAATATATATATATATATATATAATAAATTCATACATGAAACACGTATACTTAGGTTTAAGACCCTTAATTCATATTTCAGGCTCAGCTAGCAACAAAAACAGACTTAAATACCTTAACATCCAGAGGCATGCCATGAAACTGGCCAGCACCCTCCGGTGGTGTCCAATTATATGTAGCACAAGGTAAAAATAGCACTGATGCACCACCAATTTCTTTGATAAAAGCCAGTGCTTTACTAAATCTTTTTGCATCAAAAGAGGGATGGAACTTTACGACCCAGGCAAGAGCTAACTGATCACCAAGCATTCGAGAAGCATTCATGTATTTGGAACTATACACTTGTAATACCTTTTGCAGAAAGTTTTTTGCCCTGCAAGCAAGTTCACATATTCAGTCTCTTCAGTGATAATTTTGATGGTATGTTGTTGAAATGAGGAAAGAAAATATATTGTATCTTCTGGGCTCACTACAAATTATACCCTTCATTGGAAGGAGAATATCTCCCTACCACCTTTAGCCCAGCTGGTCTGTAAAGGAATAGTTATAAAGTCGAGAAAACCAGAAGACTGAATGTAGAACACAAAAAGGGTCTCAACCTTAAAATGCCATCACGTGTACCCCTCACAGCAATAAATCCAGAATTCAGAGGCTGATCTTTGTTGTTCCTGAACGTAAGAGCCAAATGGAAATTTTGGTACTTTTCAAATATCTGTCCTGGGTCATCAATTACAGCGATATCTGAGTCTGTAAATATGAAATGAGTTTTACGCCCCTGCTCCTGAGATAGCTTCTCAAGCGTGATTTCAAGAAAGGTCTACATAAAAAAATGGTAGTTTGGCAGATAAATTAGGATAAGGTTTTTCGTAATTGAACATGACAAGATGGTTTTGTACTTCTAAGTTTGTCATGATTTTAGTTTATGTAACACTGTGTATATTCTAATCTCAATAGCTGCAATGACTTCTCTTGTGGTAACCAATATAAAGAGAAAGACAGGTTTCACAAATTGCTCTACCCATCCAATAAGGAGGAGAAAGCGTTTAATAATGTTAGTAAAAAAAGAAAAAAGAAGGGCTGGGAGTAGGGTAAATCATCTTTATTTAAAAAGAAAGAAAAAAAAAAGGGGAAAATTTAAAATATAAAGCAGGTACAAGATAGGCTAGGAAGCTTTTTCGCACTTCAGAAAATGGAAAAAAAAAAAAAAAAACTAAAGATATGGTTAATAGAATATTCTATAAATGAGCAGCAAAATCTTTCTACCTATATATCAATGCGATGTGCTCTTACAATTTAAGACCTGATTCTTTGAAGCATCAACTTGTCTCGGGAATAATCACCCTGAATGTGATGTACAGTAACTCTGTTTTGGTGCACTGAGAGATGATTCTGGATCAGTCAGAATAATAATATTGCTCTGAGGCATTCTCACCTGAAAGATTTTAATCCAGAATTCCCATTAACTATATGCTCCAAAGCAATTTACTCCAGATTTCCGTTTAATGAATGCAAGATACAAATTAGAACAAATCCTGTATATTACAATAATTCCGTAATAAATAAGAAGATAAGTTAAAAACTTTAAATAAGAACTGATATATAACAGAGTTTAGTTCTGAAAATTCAAGCAAATTAACATATATTTCCAGTAGACATTTCCATATGGAAGCTAGAAGCATAATATTTAATTGAAGAATTACCTGAATATAGTTAATGAAGGCATTCAAAATGGCAATTGATCTTTCTGACTTGCTATATGAAACATTCCCAACAGTAACGAAGTTTGATGATCTACTATTCACAAGAGCGTCAGGTGAGTTGTTGTAAATGGTAAAAACAGTGACAAACGAAATACCATCTCCAACACCAGAGGCATGAGAAGGGTTTGAAAAATGTGTCTTGTTGAGAGCTTTAACTCCTGCAACATATTGAAAACATGAAAAACACCTAGAATATCACAGCAACAAGTTTAGGATCCGGGAGCCCAATAAAAGTACCTTATTTTTTTATCCAATGAGAATATTTTATATACAGGAGAATGCAAAGACCATAAATAGGAAGAATATGGAATCCGATATCACATATGTCGAGATATAACAGACTCCTAAATTCATACGCCAGTTATTCCAGTATCTAGAGATTTTAGAAATGAATGCAATTCTAAGTTTTTGGGCCCTTTTATCAAATTTGTGTACCATTCAACAAGGAATTAGCAAGAACCTTGACATTGCAAACGATTGGGCAAGCCTTCTCCAGCAACAGGTCCAAGAATCAGATGATCAGATTTCTTGCTATTTTTCTTGGGGGTATCTCCTACTGCTGAATTCTGCTCATCAAATTTCTTGTTATTTTCCTTGGGGCCATCTCCAACTGTTTGGTTCTGGTGCAGTTCCAGAACTGAAAACATGCAAAAAGAATCATTTTAATATTTTCAATAACAAACAAAAAGGACATTACAAAAATCAAACTGAATAGATTAGTAGCAAAGAGGAACAACCACCAGAGAACAAATGAGGAAGGATGAAAATAAGTGGGAAACAGAAGAGGAAACGACGCCATCCAACACATGCTTTCATGCCTAATCAATCTTTCAAAGATAGATACTACCTAGCTGCACCAATCTTCTTTGACTTAATCACGGGCCCACTGCTGCATAATAGTGGGGAAGTTTGTTCAATGGAATGGCACTATAAAAAGAGCCTAAAAAATGGATGCTTCAACAAAAAAAAAAACCTATGAATTACGATTTTTTTTTCCTTAAAAAGGAAGCCACCGCATTGCAGAAATGAGTTATTATTGATTGATTCAATATGAAGTCGTTTCAAGTTAAATTCCGACATTAAGACAAATCAAGATAAAATGTTCCGATTAGAGCTACGCTTTAGAAATCTTAAAAGTTCAAATTACATGGATTTCAGATCAGGCAGCAAAATTCAAGAATATGCAAACAAATATCAATGAAATTTTTTAAAAAATCAGACGATATCATGCTAAAGTATAGAAAATAAACAAAAAAAATCTGAATCAAGGAAAACTTAACGATGAGATGCGATTGAAGATAGAGTGAAGAAGACGAGATTGAAGACGTTTCGACACCTGATGCAATAAAAGAAGAAATTTTTGGTGAGTCCAAGGAAAATATCTCAATGTTCTTTTCGAGAGTCCATTTTTTTTTTGTTCACTCAAGATCTGATTAAACGATGTCGGTTCACAGTTTTTTAGTGGTTTTTTTTTTCCAACTTTTAATTTGAATGAGTTGGGCCTCATTTTAAATGGGCCTACTCACCGTGTACGGTAAGTACGCGGTGCAGAACGAGCAATGGTGAACGGTGGTCTTTTTGCTACACGTGGCTCTTCGCAAAAGTCTTTTGGTGGATATTTGGTTTTTACTGTGTTTATATAAATTGGGCCAGGCGGGTTGCTAAAACTCTGGACCAAAAGCTATCAATCACAACTTTGAGCCTAAGATACACAGCTTTGGGCTTGTGAGAGCCACAAGGCTTAATATTTCCATATTTTGCACAAGTACTAAGAACCTTCTTAAAAATATTGGATTAGTGCACAGTTTCCCTTCCCAATTCAGTTCTGGGCTTTTAGGCGAATGACAGTAGCCACGTTTTTCAACCATGGAAAATCAAGGGAAATATTTTTACCAACCAGGGATTTGACAAAGCAAAGAGCTGCATACACGACGGATGGCATATGATCTTGGTTCATAGATATCCAGATACTACCTATTGATGGCTCATGGTTGCACAGCTTAGATGGAGCAACATCTGAACGTTGTGATCAAACTTCTGCAGAATCATAACGATAACGACATAATCTTAGATAAGAATATAATCGAATCGAACTTAATTCAACTCACAACTTGATACTTAATTCAAACTCGATTGAATTTAATTTTTTTAACTCAAGTTTAATTTGTGATCGATACCAAATTACTTGAACTCGTTCGATTAAACTCGATTAATATGCAAAAATAAATTTAATTTTTAAACTTGATAAAAGCTCAATTATTTGTACTCGAACTTAAACTCGAATTTGAAATATTTTATTAATTAAAATAATAAAATATATTTAAATATAAAAACTCGATTAAACTCGTTAACTACTCAAACTAAATATAAAAAATCGAACCAAATTCGAATTTTATTCGAATCAAACTCGAATAACTTACAAGTACTAATGTATCATTTATTCTCCTAATCTTAGAGTTTAAATAGATTTACCATCGTTCTACATTTGCCTTTTTCTTTTCCTTTCTTTCATCAGAGCTCATTTTCAGCAACAAGATTTTAAATAAATCCAAGTAACAGCTATTAAAAAATAAGATTCAGAGCACTAAAACATTTCAAATAGCAAAAATTGAAGATAAATTATTCCGATAGGCTTAAACATAATATCGTCCCTCTTTAGTATCTCAATTTCAAACCATAAGTCAACTAATTCTTTGAAAGCATAATAGCATGTAACAGAAAAAGTTTAATCCTGCATATCTAGGAGACTGTCGATTGAAGGGTGGGAAGCTGGTTCTAACTGAGCCTTCTCTAAGCCACAAGAGTGCTGGCGGTGGTTGACTCACTGCATAAGGAAAAGTATGTTAAGATTTACAGGTCACAACCATTCCCAAGACCAGAGAGTAGTGCAATAACAACAGTTGAGTGTTGAGGACATTTTATAAAAGAGCATGCCTCTAACCATGAGTTATACATGTCAAGAATATCAAAAGGACGCAGGGATACAAATACTTACTATTTCCACACAGGTGGCAGCTTCTTTGTCTTCTTGTAATAGCGGGCAAGGCGGTGGATTCTGCTCTCAACCAAGATTAACCTAAACTTGGAATCCTTGTCTTTCCTGTTCCTCTCAAGATGCTTTCTGATGGCGACAGCTTTCTTAATCAGGTGGTACAGATCTTCAGGAATTTCGGGAGCAAGACCTGACAATAAGAAATGCATGAGTTGAATGTTTATCTTCAAATCTGAAGAAAAAAGCAACAAAAGACAATGCCAATGAAGTTGTACCATGGGCTTTCAGTATCCGCAAAATCTTGCTGCCTGTAACACTCTTCACCTGAGCAATCCCATGAGAATCACGAAGAATTACACCAATCTGAGATGGGGTCAAACCCTTCTTTGCAAACTTGCAAATGTTCTCCTCGACCTAAAAGATGAAATCAAGATTAATGAATATCGCCAAAAAAGAGTACAGACTTCTTTTAAGGAGAGAATAAACCAAAGGAAGTGGGAGGTTTTTAACTCCACATTGCAAGGATGTAAAACCGGAAAAAAAATACGCCTTAAGAACATCAACGACAAAACATAAGAAACAGTTTGCCGAAGATTAATTAACTACTATTAATACTCCATCCATTCAGCAGTAAAATTTGTAGAAGAACATAATAACCGAAGCTTCAGCTTGAGATATATGTCACAAAAAGATAGATGTAATCTAACAAACTACCAACAAACAAGAATAAATGATCATTAGAATTCTACATTCAAGAAATATGGATAAAATATTGTAACATAACTAATGCACCATCAAACCTAAATATTAATTATTGATAAAATTTCTCCCACAGCCTTCAATTTTCTCTCAAGCTATCTTTAGTTTTTTTACACTTAAATCCTGAAAAAAATGTAATTTTACGATGCGATCAACTTAAAACACTAAAGATTGGCTTTAGACTTTAAGCAGAGCATTATCATTGTATTGTAATCAATGATGGTAACAACAATAGCTCATACAAATTAACAAAAAATAATTCAGATTTATTTCTCAAAGTAGATAAAAATAAAATAATACAAATTCCTATCATTCATTTTCTAACTAAAGCAAACAAAAATGAAGAGCGTGATTAAAGCAAGTGACTCACATCTTGAGAAGAGATCTTCAACCAACTAGGTGGAGTTCTCTTGTAGGGCAGAGCAGATGCGGAAATACCCTTACTGCACAGAAAAAGAAACACAATCATTAAGCAGCCTTTTGGCTAATGAATCACCAAGACCATCATAGGATTGTTTTCAGAGGATAATGAATCAATAGTTAGAGCAACTACAAACCCTCGGCTGTGCATACGACCCATGGCGGCAGAGTTTCGATCTCTTCGGCTGCTTCTCTCGGTCTCTTAACCCCGGCTTCCGTCGCTTGCTCTGAGCAAAGAAACCCTAGAATCGATATGGAGCCTCGGGCTAGGGTTTTTATTCTTCTGGTCCCTTGCCAGTGACTTATTGGGCCTTCCCTCATCGGCGGACACTTCCTACAAATTGGGCCGGACACCATTTATTTATTATCTTGTTTGGCCCAACCGATAAAGTAAAAGAATTTAGAAAAAGGATTTTTTTTAAAACTAAATTAATGAGTTATTCTATTTATAAAATCATTTAAGTTACTTCATCACAAAAATATTTAAATTATTATTTTAATCATGCATTTGCAATTGTTTGAAGGAGAGAAAGAAATTAGGATTAATTGTTATATGGACTGTCTTAATTGATATGGACAAGTAACATAGACCTTTCCTTTAGGATTCGGAATTTCGTATGGCCCATTGGCCCTTTAATGTGTCATCTTGTTGAAAAGTATATCCATCATCATAATGGATGTTATTCACATGATCTGAAAAGGAAATAGTATAAAATAGTGAATAGAAATGAAAAAGATAGTTGTCTCCCAAACAAAGGGCTTGGAAAAGTGAAATAGTGGACAGGCAAAATTCCTTTACATGGTCTTTTCTCCTTTTATTCTATTGCCGTGAAACAATGGTAATGGGAAACATCTTTTTTATAACCCACCAATTGGAATAGACTCAAGTACAATAATGGAGAGAAAAGAAAAAAAATATCTAGATTTGTTTGTGTGACCCTAAAAAAATCTTGGTTTAGACTTTAGATAGACAAAAGATGGTTGACGTGGTTTGAAAAGCTTGAGACTTGGATTCCAATTCCCTATTGATTCATGCCTTAAACAGTGAGGCTTTGGAGTGTCAGGGCATCAAATGATGAGAATGTTGGATGGGTAATTGAAAGAAAGAAGATAAAAGGAGAGAGAGGTGTCTTGTCTAACATTATTTGCTTCAACCTACAAGGTTGTTGGATTGTTCGAAAATTTACAAGTCCAGTTGCCTCCTTTGTATGTAGTTGTGCCATTTTTATTTCCCTTGTTATCGCCATTCATTTCAAAATTTGGAGAGAAAGAGACAGAGGAACTATACAAAGCTGAAAAGCTGGAGTCAACAGGAGCGAGGAACGATTTCAGGAGGAGCGAATGAGCAAATAAGCAATCCAGCAAGGATTGAGACTGTTGCTGAATTCTTCAGACAAAAGGCTACATAATTTTAGGTGTCGGTTTAGAATGGAAAAAGCAGAAAGAAAAAAAGAGCCACGATTTCGACACATATCTGACCATCATAGTCATACATTCAATCATGATTGGCAAATCCCGTATCGTTTTTTTCAGAAGGTGAAATGATGGGAAGATAACTTAAAGCCTAAAAGTAAAAAAAATATACATATTTCGAATTTCAATTCAATAGTGCTGATTTTAAAATTCCAGCACGAGACAAGGAATTTGAAAAAAAAGGAATAAAATTTTGGCCTTGCTGAACAGTAAGGTGAGCAAGAGGTCTTAGTCGTCATACGGGCCCCTACCGTCAGAGTACTGACAATGTGGAGACTGGAGGGCCCCCACCAAATTGATTTTCTCTGACCAGCACTTAATGGATGAGGGAGACTTGGTCCTAAAGTAGCAAGGAACAAAGAAACATTAATTTTGAAGTTCACATGAGACCTGAACAATTATGGTCCATGATCATTGTCCTCCACCCAATTCAACATCAAACTCCCATTTACGTAGCTAAAAATAAAATGAAAAAGAGAAAGGATCAAAGGAAGCGATATTATGGCGTTTTATTTACCATGTCCCGATTGACACCAATGACAGAAAAGGCGGAGAGCATAAAACCAATAAAGAATAGATTCGCTCTCATTGCGTTAAGCACTGAATCAAACCATACTTTGCACTTTGGATTTAAGATGTAAGTACCTAGATGTGCAGAATTCTATCTGGTCATCTAGCTGTCCTGGCATGGGCCGCCAGCTTCAGCTTTCCCAAAGTTCCAGTTTCAAGGGATGCGAGAAAATTTTCAGAACAATGTTCATGTTTTAATTGAAAATGACCATCTCCTAACTTACCAAACCTTTTTCAATGAGAAAAAATTCGTTCATCTTCTTTTTTAACAGCTAATATTATGCTTTATATGGGTAGACTAATAGTCCTCAGTGGTCCAATGCTGTACTCAACTTCATTCTCAACCCCTAGAAAATTGTTGTACATTTTTCTTTTTAAGATAAATGGTCTGCACATAATCGTGAGACCACTGACAGCTAAACTATGTATAGCGATACATGTGATCCTGACCTATAGATTTACAAATGTTTACCTTGGCTCTACTCTGCAAGCATCTAATTGTTTCATGTTTTACTATTTAGAAATTTTTGTATGGGCCCCATCGTTTTCAAATCCTTACCTACAAAAACAGCAGCCCCTTAAAGTAAGTCCATATGCACCCAAAAATTTCACTGCACCAAACAATGGAGTAAAAACCAAAAAAAGTTTAAAAAGAAAGTGAAATAAATATAAAAAAAAAGAAGAAGAGGAAACCGACCTTTTGTACTTAAGCTCACGCGAACGTTACATGGTTTTTCCCACTGAACTCAAACTCAAGCCACTTACCTTAAACAGATTTCGAATCTCACACTCAAACTTGTTTTTCCCACTCTCTCCCGTCCCGTTTTCCTCCTCTTTCCTTCCAAACAATCATGTCTATCCTCCTTCTCTTCCTCCTCTCTATCCTCCCATTCTCTCTCTCTTCACCAACTGAACATGAGGTTCTCCTCAAAATCAAGGCCTCATTGGACCCACAGAACCGCTTCTTGTCATCGTGGACACCTTACTCCGACCCCTGTACCGGCGGTTCATTTGATGGGGTTGCATGCAACGAAGAAGGCCACGTGACTAACATTTCGCTGCAAGGGAAAGGTCTCTCCGGGCAGATACCGGCGGCTCTGGGTGGACTTAAGAGCTTGACCGGTTTGTACCTGCATTTCAACGCGTTAAGTGGGGAGATACCAAAGGAGATTGCGACTCTGAGTCAACTCACCGACTTGTACCTCAATGTCAATAACTTGTCTGGAGAGATTCCTCCTCAGATTGGCAACATGACTAATCTTCAAGGTATTTAAATTTGATTAGTTTTTAAATATTATATATATGCCAGGCTGCTTAATTGTATTGGTCTGGGTTGTTATGTGTCATAAAAAAAGTTTGAGTCTTGTCTGATGCTTTTAAATCTTGATTTATTTCATGTGGTTTTCTTCATTAACTTTGCCTGATGTTGTTACATTTCTAAACTAAAGTACTAATCTTTGATTGATCTTTTTCCTCTTCTTTTTGTGATTCAAAAGTAAAGTGAACACCTTGAATCTGTTTGATTATGCAGCAATAAGTTGTTTGCAGGTTCCATATAGAAATAAAGAACTTGATAGAAAATTTTCAGGTCTCTGTCCTATCCTTTGCTTTCCTTAATATCATGATATTGACTAACTGTGAAACGATTTGGATCTTTTGGTTGCAGTTCTTCAACTATGTTACAATAGGTTGACTGGGAGCATACCTACACAGTTAGGATCTCTACAGAAGCTTACTGTCCTTGCTTTGCAATATAATCGATTAACTGGTGCAATCCCTGCAAGTTTGGGGAATTTGGAGATGTTAACAAGGCTGGACTTGAGCTTTAATAACCTTTTCGGTTCTGTTCCAGTGAAGTTAGCCGATGCTTCCATGCTAAAAGTGTTAGACATCCGCAATAACACCTTATCTGGCAATGTACCGCCAGGTGATATAGTCTCTACTCTCTCTGTTTGAAACTCATCCTTAAAATTGTTGTCTTGTCTTCAGGTGTGTAATTATGATGGAAGAAAGCCTAAGTTTTCTAACTCGTCTTTTCAATATCTTTGTGGATGAAATGCAGTTCTGAAGAGACTGAACGCTGGGTTCCAATACGAAAACAATCTCGGCCTATGTGGTGTTGGGTTCCCTAACCTGAAAGATTGTGCAGATTCGACTAAAATGTATGGAAACAGACCTGAACCGTTCGAGCCCAGTGGCCTTAACAGAAAGGATATCCCCGAGTCGACCTACTTACGACCTGATTGCAGCAGAACTAACTGTTCAAGGCCATCAGGAAGTCCACAAATAGGTGTAATCTCCGGCATTGTTGGTGTTGTTCTTGTGTTGACAGTTGCAGCACTTTTCACATTTGCATGGTACCGTCGGAGAAAACAGAAAATTGGGAGTGCTTTTGATACTTCAGATAGTCGGCTTAGCACTGATCAGGTCAAGGAGGTTAACAGGAGAAGTGCCTCGCCCCTAATTAGTTTAGAGTATTCTAACGGTTGGGACCCATTAGACAAAGGTAGGAGTGGGAATGGGTTTTCCCAGGAAGTTTTTGAGAGCTTTATGTTCAATTTAGAAGAAGTAGAGCGTGCAACTCAGTGCTTCTCAGAAGTAAATTTGTTGGGGAAGAGCAATTTCTCAGCTATCTATAAGGGGTTCCTAAGAGATAGTTCTGTTGTTGTAGTAAAATGCATTGCCAAGACCAGCTGCAAGTCGGATGAATCCGAGTTTCTGCAAGGTCTGAAGATATTGACCTCATTGAAACATGAAAATCTTGTGAGATTGAGAGGTTTTTGCTGTTCAAGGGGCAGGGGGGAGTGTTTTCTCATCTATGATTTTGTCCACAATGGAAATCTGTTGCAGTATCTTGATGTGAAGCGGGGCAGTGGAAAGGTTCTTGAATGGTCCACCAGAATTTCTATCATTTGTGGCATTGCCAAAGGTTAGTTTTCTTATTGCTCTTTGAGATTGTACAAATATTTTTTGCTCGGTCATGTTGATCTATAAAACATTCAAACTGTATAAAAATTAAACCATCATCTTTTCTTAAATATGTGACTTTTTATGTAATATTCAAACAACTGGAAACAGGTAAAAAATAATAAATTCAAGTAAATGAACATAATATGGTTGGGATAATGTAATCTTTTTCTGAGGAACAACTGGAAAGCCTATAGAGGAGTTTATTGGAACAATTACATGTTTTTGAACTTATTCCTTTCTGACAAATTTTTGCTTACTGCCTACTGGGATCTGATATTCCTGAACAGGTATTGGGTATCTACATGGAAGCAAAGGAAGCACAGGAAGCAAACTTGCTCTTGTTCACCAGAATATATCTGCAGAGAAAGTGCTTATAGACAACCAATTCAATCCCTTGCTCTCAGATTCTGGCCTGCACAAACTCCTTGCAGACGACATTGTCTTCTCCACTCTCAAGGCTACTGCTGCAATGGGATACCTTGCTCCTGAGTACACTACTACTGGCCGTTTCACTGAAAAGAGCGATGTATATGCATTTGGTATGATTGTATTTCAGATACTAAGCGGAAAACGAAAAATCACCCAACTGATTCGCCATTTTGCAGAGCCATGCAAAGTTGAAGATTTTATTGACATGAATCTTGAGGGTAAGTACTCAGATTTTGAGGCTACCAAACTTGGTAGAATTGCTCTGCTTTGCACCCACGAATCTCCTAACCACAGGCCATCCATGGACAATGTGATACAAGAATTGAGTGGATTAATGAGCAGTTCTTTAACTAATTAGAGTTATTACCTCAATTTTCAAGTAAGCTGAGGTAGGATGCGGCTATTACTAACCTCTGGTTGATGTCATAACTGAACCACCCCTTTTATTAATCTCATCTAACTGCCATGTCCTTTCCTTAGGATTTGAATTCCCTGTGCATGTAAAGTAGGTGTCATTTTGTTGTAATTGGATGTAAAAGAACCAAAGGTAGGGGAACCTGCCTTCCAACTGAATTAATTTAATTTCGACTCTTCAAACAAGGCTGTTTCCCGTAGTAGCAACTCCAATATTACGGTAGTAAGTAATTTTTCATATGTTCACGCCTTACAGTCATCCGGATGACTAGTCATGGTTTTCTAATTTAGCATACCTAATTCCATTGATCATATTAGCCCAAGTGGCAACATCCCTTCTCAGCATCTTATCAAGCAAAGCCTGAGCATCTTCCATATTCCCACACTTTACAAATCCATTACTCATCGAGTTCCACGAAATCAAATTCCTATAAGGCATTTCCTCAAACAATTCCAAAACAAAACCCCTCCCCATTTCTCCAATTGCTCGTAAATACTGATCATAGAATTCCAAGTTATCAAATTCTTATCCTCCGTTGGCATAAATTCAAATAATTCGCTTGCCAAATCAATCATCCCCCTTTTAATATACCCATCAATCATTGAATTATACAAAGAAATCAAACAATTTTTCAAAAATAAATCAGATCCAACATTCATCTTTCTCAACAAGCCATTAACTACATTCCTTCATTAAACCCGACAGAGAACACGGTTTAAGTAACCAAAGGCAACGTGAACCTATCAAAACAAACCAAATTGTCCAGCATCAAAGCAGAGCATGACAAATGCTTGTTTTGGGTCTCGCCCATGGGGAAACGACTTATTTGAGCTAGCCCATGAAGTTGAAATACTCCCAGTTAAGGCCCTAGGACTCAGAAGTACTCAATACATCAAAAGCCCAGAACTTTTATGTTGGCTTCAGCAAGACCTTGTCACAATGCATGAAACCTACATCAACTTGGTCCAATTTAGGCCGAGTTTTACTTCATAGTAAAATAAACCAGCGACAATGTTATTGGGTTATACCCTGTTGAAAAGCGTCCAAAGAGACAGACGAATTATCTCTTTCAGTTTTAAAGCATCTGAGGTAAGTGAAGGCAACAGCTTGTCAGTTTCTAAAGTAGTTGATCCAATTAATTAGTCGACTATCCTTTTATGTTTCAATGAAACATGATAAGACAAGTAGTTTATTAAAATTAGGCAGCTTGATCTTATCATCAGTTACAACTACTTATATATATAAGCTGCACGCATGAACATGTTTTTAAATGCTTTTTTTCCTTTATCATAATTGGAATTTTGGAGAGTTTGCATGTTAAAGAATTCGTATATCTTTAAAATTTTAAGTTATCAAGTTTTCTACACAATTTTTTATAGTCCATTGAAGTCTTAAAAATCATCTATTTTGGTGAGATATTACTCTTTTTTTTTTGTATTTAAACAGAAATTGAATTTTTATTGTTAAAATCACGAATTTAGCATTATATCAATAGATTTTATTACTGTAATAATAATTTGCTAATGTTACATGTGTTCATTTAACATTATTAATGAGTCCTAAACTTACTTTTACTTTTGCTTGTTTGTTTTTTCTTTATTTTGGTTTGGTTTGGTTTTTATAGTGCAAGTAGAGGAGGCATTGACCTAGGAAAAGCCATTGTCATGACATATTGTATCAATCTAATAATACTGGCAGCTTGTCCCCGAGAATCTATCATCTATCTAATCAAGCTTTTAATAATCATGCTCTCAGCAAGGCTTGCTTGGATTTGCTTTTTAAATATGAATAAAATAGCTTAAACATAAAGTAGTTGAGATGGTTTCGATTGTTCTTCAAAATATATATATATATATATATATGTGGAAGGTGTATATGCATTATTTTAACAGTATAAGGATAGGCTGTACTATAAGGTATCATTTCTTCCAGATGTTGACTTTTATTATCATTAAATATATACATGGAAATTTATATATATAAATCTAATCTTATCTCAAAAGATATAGTCTTAAATATATATGGATATGTCTTCCTTCATTTGCTTGCTCAGTCAAGTTTCATTGGAACGATGATAAAAAAAAAAAAAAAATTGGTTTATGTAACTTATTTGAATGGAAAGAATTAAGAAGCATATATATGTTGTTTACCATAGCTGCTAGGCTTTGACCTTTGAGTTGGCCAAAAAATAGTTCATCAGTGGTTGATTGCTTATTCTTCACCATTTCATGAAGCACTTTCCCTGTTTAACTATTGCTCACTGACAAAGCTGAAGTTGTCCGGAGCACATACAAAAAAGAAAGATCGGAGGAATTAGTAGGAGTATTGTTTATAATTTGATTTTAATTGAATTAATTGATTAAATTAATTTAATTTGATTAATAAGTTGATTATCGAATTAATTTCGATCAATTAATAAAAATGAATTTAAAAAAATTTTGGTTTTAAAAATTTTTTTTAATCGAAATATATATAAATAAATTAAATATAAAATAAAATATATATAAAATAGATTATTTTATTTTATAAATTGTTAAAGTTTTTAACATAATATTTTAGTATTCACATATTTTATTGGATAATTTTATTTAATTCATTTAAAATATAAAAAATTAAAAGTTTATAATATAATATAATTTAAATATATTTATTATTTAATTAATCAAAAATAAAATAATATAATTCAGTTAATTCAATTTTAAATAATTTGATTCAAAATTAATCGAGCTAACCAAATGAATACCTCTAAATTAAACTTAAAATTATAGTGTTGAAGCTTAGTTGTGAGCAATAATCTAGTTTTTGCAACTCAAATTAATTAATATTGGACAACTTGCAGCTCGATGGTTTGCTCAGCAAGCGTAATCCCAGCTAGCTCACTTAGAATTTTAGACATAAATTCCTTGTCATCTTATAATCTAATCCAAGTTTAAAACGTTGGTTCTCTACCTATCTTTTTCTTGATAATTATAATAAAAATAAACACTTGTGCCCTAACCCACAAACGTCCAATTAACGTTAAAACTTACAGGTCCCAACCTGTATCAAATTGGTTCTGTTCACATATAAAACAATCCTTATAGAAACGTGGACCAAGGCTTTAGTAACACTTAAACTTATCAACGATATTAGACTTGTACGTTAACTGTCATAACGTTTAGATTCGGAGATCTATTATTAGACATTGACTTAAAAAGTCGTCATCAATCTTTTTTATTTAGATGCAATTAATCACTTAAAAAATTTATCCTTTCAAGGAACAGCTAAGTTTAAGGGTTTATAAAAGAATAAGTTCAGATCTACTAACCAGAATAGGGTTTGAGAGTTTGGTTACATGTGAGAAAGGTTATAGCACTCTCACAATACCCATCGAAAGATGGTACCAGCTTAATTTTGTGTTATCCAATAAGCCTTAAAAATTTACCAAGTAATTAATTATTGAAAATTATTCTCAATTGACTCTAATACTTTTAGCAAAAAATTGAAAAAATTCTCTCACCTCAAGAGTATGCAAGAAAACTATTATTTCACTTGCAGAGACTTCATTGTCGGATTATTTAACATTAAAAAAATTTAAAAAAATAAAAAGAAAAAAATGATTGCTTTTGTATAGGAAAAATTGATACTTTCAACTTTTCCTCAAAAATATATTTTTTTGAATTTTATTTCTAGAAAATAAATAAAATAAAATGGAAATAAAAATAAAGAAATAAATTAAAATAAAAATAAAATAAAAAAGTATTAAACAATTCTAATCTAATCAATAAAAATAATAATAATAACAATAATAACAATAATAATAATGATAAATAAAATAATAAAATAATGAAAAAAAACTTGAGAACGGCTCGGTTTAGCGGCTCAGCTCAGCTTGAGAAAGAAAGAACGGCTTGAAAAAATAGCTCGGGACGTCGGCTCGACTCGTGAAACAGCTCAAAAACACGGGTAGCACGTGGGTCGAAAGCAGGTTACCGCTCAGGTCTGGTCGGATCTTGGCAAAACGCGCGAATCCTATGGGTTTACTAACGCAAAAACGACGTCGTTTTGGAGATGGTATATAAGGCTGAAGGTCGATTTTTTTTTTTTCAGAATTCCCTTCTCCTCTTCTCTTTTTCCCTTCTTTTCCTCTCCCCTCTTTCTAAACCACGAAGAACTCCTGTTGAATTCTCGTCAAATTCTAAAAATTTTCATCAAAATTTGGGTTTTTCGTCGAAAGTTCACCCAAAAACTGATCGGTTTCTGGAAATAGTCGTCGAAAACTGGAAAGTTGATCGAAAAATTTAAACTTAGCCGAAAAAGTCGTCGAAAAATTCAAACTTCACCGAAAAATTCAATTGAAATTTGAAAATTTTTAAAAATTTCCAAAACAAAATTCATGAAAAAATTTTCCAAAAATTCTCACCGATTTTTAGAGCTGTTCTAACGCACCAAAACCCTTTTTAGCTTCTGTTTCTTCTCTGTGTACTCTCTCTCAGCCAGTGTCTCCCTTTTTTTGTGTTTTTCCTTTGATCCGTGGATCTATTTATAGGGATTGATCAGAAGAGTTTCTGATCAATCTCAACTCTTCCTTGGATTGAGATTCAATCATTGAATCCAATATGGACTCTGATTGAATCTCAAATTCACGGTAGGATTCCCTAAATTCATTCCAATCTCAACCGAAAAAGAAAATAAAATAAAAAAATTAATAGATAATTAAAAAGAAATAATCAGATAAATGAAAATATTAACAGATAAATAAAAATAAATAATAGATAAATTATAATATATAAATAGATAAATAATAATAAATACATATATATAATATAAATAGCTAAGTATTAATAAATATATATATTGACATAAAAAAATAAAAAAATAAATAAACAATAAATACATAAGATACAAAGGAAAAATATAAAATATAAAATAAAAACAAAAAATAAATATAAATACAAAATACAAAATAAAATGGGCCTACCTATTTGGACTAGGCCCAATTGATCCGGGCCTGGATCAAATTGGGTGTCTATAGCTACCCCTATTTGCACATTTTCTGTGAAACAAAAATTACGCAAAGACGTAGACACCCATTCAAAACTCAACTTGACCTCTTTTTTCATTTTTTTTTTTTTGCTAAAGATTTGATCAAAACTCCTCTAAGCAGAGGCTCAATGACTTTGAAAAACATAAACAATGCTCTTCTAATCAGAGGCTCACGACTTTGAAAATAACTAAAGCTTCTCTAATTAGAGGCTCAACGACTTTTGAAAAGTAAAAGACTCATCTAATCCGAGGCTCAATGACTTTGAAAATAAATAAAGCTCTTCTAATCAGAGGCTCAATGACTTTTGAAAAGTAAATGGCTCATCTAATCAGAGGCTCAACAACTTTGAAAAATAAACAAAGCTCCTCTAATTAGAGGCTCAACGACTTTTGAAAAGTAAATGACTCCTCTAATCAAAGGCTCAACAACTTTGAAAAGTAAATGGCTTCTCTAATTAGAGGCATCACAACTTTGAAAAGTAAATTGCTCCTCTAAACAGAGGCATCACAACTTTGGAAAGTAAATTGCTTATTGACAATCATGTCCAAAGGAGTTGAAAATCGTGTTTGAAGAAATTTTAAGAGATTATGCCCAAAGGTCTTATAAATCAACCCTGATACCGAGAGACATCTTATTTCAAGGATTAGAAACTTACCTGACAAGCTTTTTTTCTCAAATTTGAAAATGTCTTCACATCTATCTTCTCTATGTAAGATTTTGGAATACCCCTACTTCTTGCACTATATTTTCTTAAATGTAGTATATGCTATGCAATACATGTGAAATTTAATGCATGCTATGCAAATATTGGCTAATTAACTCCAATTCAATTGTGATACTCAAGTTTTTCAAGCTCTTTTTTTGGGTATCGAACCTTTTAATTCTTCAAAGACCAAGTTGCGCTATTTTTCCAAGATCGAGCC